GGTCAGGTATTCATCTTAGACGGAAATTTCCGTCTAGAATACCTGACTATTTAAAAAAAAATTAAAACACGGAAACCGTCTAGGATACTATTCTAGACGGAATATTCCGTTTAGAATAATTTATTCTAGACAGAATATTCTAGACGGAAAATTTCCGTCTAGAATAAATTATTCTAGACAGAAAAATTTCTGTCTAGAATATGTGATTTTCTACTAGTGTGATAGGTTGATTCGGCTCGTGTTGACTCTTCATGTTTCGACTGCAAGCACGGAAAGAACATTTTCGGCAATGAAACTCATAAAAACATCATTGTGCAACAAGATGAGACATGAATTTCTTGCTAATAACATGATACTTTATATTGAAAAAGAAATTACTTCCAGCCTCGACACAGAAGAAATGGTAGAGGCGTTTGATTCACGACATACTCGTAGAGCTCGACTTAGATAGATACTTTTGTTTCTGGTGTATCTCATATTTTGAATGTGTATGATACAACTTTGTCTTTTTTATCAATATCTAATCAAAACGCTCTTAGTTTGTTTATTTATTTTTATTTTTATTTTGCTTTGTTATTTTTTCGCCCAGGGCAAAAAAAAATCCTGGCTACGTCACTACCAACAAGGATAACAATTAGGAAGGTATGAATCCTAGAATGTAAGACACCTATCCTCAACACATGAAGAAATGTTGCATCACTAAGCACTTCAGTGACAAGTCAAACTAATTAGCTCAGAGTTAAGATGAACAGAGAAGGTAACCTACAACAACAGGGTACAACATCCAAGAGAAAACTAAAAATATGGTGAAAACTATCATTTGGATCAATACCATCACAAGACACTCTGGCAAGTTTATATTATTCATAGCATACATATGCTTAGAGGGTAAATAAGAGCATTACCAACCCTACTTCATACATTACATTAAATGCATATTTCACATAATCCTATTTTAAACCACAAGTTATAGGCACTAGGTAAAGAGGGGATCTCTTGTGCACTGTAAGTCCTTGTGCATCCTCCATATCAACATCCTCTCTCTTCATCCCTTCAGGCAATTCCCAGTCGAATAAGTACAACATATTAGCAAGTGCAAGCTCGACAACCGCCACTCCTACGTTCATCGCGGGGCAAATTCTTCGTCCCGAACCAAAAGGAATAAATTGAAAATCATGGCCTTTGAAGTCGATCGAGCTATTCATAAATCTTTCAGGCATGAACTCTTCTGCACCCTGCCATGTATTAGGATCTCTTCCAATTCCCCAAGCATTAATATATACGAGAGTATTTGGCAAGATATCATACTCTTCGATCTTACAGTGTCGAATTGTCTCTCTTGGGAGAAGTAATGGAGCAGGAGTATGCAGCCTGAGAGTCTCCTTCACCACTGCTTTCAGGTATTGAAGCTGATGAAGATCTCCTTCTTCGACCTTTTCTTTCGATCCTAGCAGGGCCCTAACTTCATCTTGTGTTTTCTTCATTGCCCTTGGAGTCCTTACAAGCTCGGCCATGGCCCAAATTATGGTTGCGGCGGATGTATCACTTCCAGCAATGAAGATATCCTAATAAAACTCATGTAAGTATAGAAGCTTACATAAACAGAGTACAAGATGAAACTTTATGAGGAGCTCAGTTGAAGAGAGTTTTTACTTTGAAATCATATTTTAGTTCAAGGGCTCCTATGGCTGGAAACTTGTATTCCTTTCCTCTGATTGTTTAAATGGTTAAATGCATTATTGCACATAGACCACCTGCAGCGGTTTTGAACTTACTATCCTTCTAGTTTCATCGTCGCAGATATACCCGTTGGAAGATATTGTCATGGGTGAAATTAATAAGTCTATCTGAGTGTTAAAAGAACTAATTCATGGGGTTAACCTGCAACGACGAAACTACGGGGACATTTACTTCAAAACATCGGTATTAATGGGTTGTACTCACTTTTTACTTAGAGTTGAACATTATGATGATTGCTGCCAATGTTCCTGGTCTTATTGCAAGACTGATTTAATCTGGATACCAAATGTTTATTTTTCATACCTTGCCAAAAAAAAGAAGAAGAAGAAGAAGAATCAATAGATCCAAAGCTGGTTTAATTAGACCTAATGGCTACAGAGGGGACAAACATGATCAAGGCAAAATTCACTAATCGTGAAAATAAAGATTTCAATACCGTAAGAACTGCCTTGATGTTTTCCTTGGTGAGACGACCTTCATCCTGTTGTACACGAAGCAAAACGTCGACTATGTCTTCGCGTTCAGGTCTAATCCTTTCAGGATCAAGGTGATCCCTTATAACTTCCTCATAAAATGCATCAAGCTCTCCTACGTTCTTCTCAAGCCTATAAAAATTTCCACTCAACTTATCGACCAAGCCCAGCGCCGGAAAGAAATCAGCAACAAAGATCCCTCCCAACAATTGTTGGGCTTGCTTAAGAATTTGATGAGCCTGACTCCTCTCATGCTCTCCATCTTGGTACTTCTTACCAAAAGCAATCCTGCAGATGATATTATTCGCAAGGCTAACCATAGCCTTCTGCAAATTTATAGGCTTCGACGAAGAAGACGAAATCGATTGAAGCGTCAGAGATACCTCTTCCTCTCTTATCCCGCGAAAGGATTCCACCCTCTTGGCACTGAAAAGTTTGAGTGTGCACACTTTCCTCATCTCTCTCCAGTACTCGCCGTAGGGTGCAAAACTGATATCAGAGCTATTGTACGAGTATTTGTTGGGAGCAATGAGATGGGGTCGAGAGCAGAAATCAAGGTCGTGAGTCTTTAACACTTCTCTGGCCATTTCGGCAGATGAAACTACTAGTGTCGGCCTGGGACCGAGCTGTAGATGCATCAAAGGTCCATGCTTTTGGGAGAGTAGCCAAAGCGAACGGTGAGGGGTCGAACCGAGCTGATGGAGGTTGCCAATTAGTGGGAGCTTCTTCGGGCCGGGAGGGAGTTTGTGATGTTGCTTTCCTTTGTGAATGAGAAGAAGAAGAAGAAGAAGAAGAAGAGAGGCAAGAGGGATGAAGATTAGCATAGTGACACCGTAGAGATGGTTGTTTCTGAGGCAGAGCAGAGGGAGAGAAGAGGAATGTTTAATAACTCATGTAAAATTGTGTAATATGAAATCTAACATTAAAAATGCCTAATTATTAAGCTTATAATAGTAAGAATGTACTCATTGCATTTATTAGTCTTTATCATATTAGGTGTGCATGCATGTTCATGCATGTGTTTCTTATCATCTATAGACACAAATTACTTTGAATGAAAGCCACATTAATAACAATTGTATACTCATTTGAGGACATTTTTGGAAGAAAAATTTTAACATTCTTCACACTTTTGTAATAGTATATATATTGTATAGTATTAGATCAGATTAGATTAGATAAATATTCAATGAGCATCAAAATGTTGACTATCATCATACTAATCCACAGTTTGGATAGTGACAATGAATTATAAATATATTTGTTGTACAAATTTGGAGACTGTCTACTGATGTTCCAGGAACCGCGCCCGATTTTTTTTTTTTTTTTAATATCGGGATAGACTCTCAACTGAGTATCTTTCAAAGATTACAACCACTCATTTAATATAACAATAGCTCCTACTTCTAGCTGAAATTTATACATTAAAGAGTTAAAAGTGAGTAATCTTCAAGCAATGGTGCGTACCAAGTCACTGGAGAAAACATCTCCTAAATTAGATTAACTATCAAGAAAATAACCAAAACTATGTCAGGCCCTCAAAACATCACTTTCAATTGCAAAGTATTATACTGCCCTTTTGCCTTTCTGTTTATAGTATTATTTCAGGTGTAATTCTCATAAAACTACCATTAGCTTTATGATGTCTTGCACAAAGCTAGCATAATTTTTTTTCAATGAGAGTAAAACATCATGCACTTTTTTTTCACTAAAAGCTCATGTATCTGATAGAAACGATAGAAGATCAGGCTCCAGCGAGTTACTCTATCCACAAAAGCAATGTGACAAACAAAAGTTGTGCTGAAGTTCATTTGAGAATCACCGGCGAGGATGAGTTGAATCTGTTAGCCGAAATCCCTGACTCCTCAGCCGCAAAAGAAAGAAAGAAAATGAAAAACGTGGGCTGCTGCCTAAAGTTAGGTGAGGTTGAAAATGAAAGGAAAACAAATTTTACGGGCCCCACAACATAGTAAAATATTAATATTTTATTATACATAGTATTTTCCCAAAAACTATAAATAGGCTCCAAATCTTTAAGAAAATCTCATCCCAGAAACAACTTCTCTTATAGAAGAGTGAGAGAGAAAAAATTGAGAGATAGAATCTCATTGTAAAGAGAGATTGTAACTCCAGAGTTTTCTTCTCATAGTGGATTCTTCTATCCTTACCTGTGGACATAGGCAATCAAGTACCGAACCACGTAAATCTGTGTGTCCAACTTTTTATCTCTACTTTTGCTCTACTATTGCTACGATCCTGCTCTATTAGGTCCCGGGTTTGTCCCAACAAGTGGTATCAGAGCCAACTTAGGGTGTTTATATATATCTACTTATCGCATGCTCTGTGGCTGCCACCAAAGGTGGATCCTCCACATCAAAAAATAAGTTAGGTTATCATTTACACTTTGAAGGTGATAGGTACTATTCACGAGTACGGTATTGTTCATAAATACGGTACTATTCACAAGTATAGTACTATTCACGGAACTATTATTGTTCATAAATACAGTTTCTATTTACGTGAGATAGTAAGAAGTTATTGTTCGTGGTAGAAGCAATGGCGGCAAAGTTCAAGATTGAGAAATTCGACGGGAGTAATTTTTCACTGTGAAAGTTGAAGATAAAGGCTATCTTGAGAAAAGATAATTGTCTGACGGTCATCGGTGCAAGGCCAGATGATATTACATATGATAAGAAGTGAAACGAGATGGACGAAAATACTATTGTAAATCTCTATCTGGCATTAGCAGACGGGGTACTGTCAAGCATAGAGGAGAAGAAGACAACAAAGAAGATCTGGGATACCCTAACAAAGCTATATGAGGCGAAATCCATGCACAATAAAATCTTCTTAAATGGAGACTTTATACTCTTACGATGACGGAATCTACATCGATGACCGACCACATCAACACCTAAACACACTGTTCTCCCAACTCACAACGTTGGGGTATACAGTTGGTGCGAATGAACGTGCAGAACTTCTACTTCAGAGTCTACCTGACTCGTATGATCAACTCATCATCAACCTAACAAACAACATCTTCACGGACAATCTAGTCTTCGACGATGTTGCAGCCGCTGTTCTGGAGGAAGAAAATCAGCGCAAGAACAAGGAAGACAGGCAGGCAAGTTCGCAACAAGCGGAGGCCTTATCGGTGACGAGAGGAAGATCAACGGAATATGGCTCCACTAGGAGTCATACCCATGGTAGATCCAAATCAAGAAGTAAGAAGAATGTCAAATGCTATAACTGTAGCAAAAGAGGGCACGTCAAATCGGAGTGTTGGCACAATAAGAAGAGTGGAGAGAAAAAGTCTTTAGAGCCATCAACATCTCAAGGATGCGTTATCAGCACATCAAACGATTGTGAAATTCTATTCAGTGGAGCAACCACTGTTGATGAAGGCAGAAAGAGGTTTGCTGATGTCTGACTTCTGGATTCAACAACCTCCTGGCACATGACCTCCCGGAGAGAATGGTTTCATAAATATGAACCTATCTCAGGAGGATCTGTATTCATGGGGAATGATCATGCATTAGAGATTTCTGGTATTGGCACTATTAAAATTAAAATGTTTGATGGTACAATACACACTATTCAAGATGTGCGACATGTGAAGGGCTTGAAGAAGAATCTATTGTCTTTGGGACAATTAGATGAGCTCGGGTGCAAGACCCATATCGAAAATGGGGTCATGAAGATTGTTAGAGGTGCGCTTGTGGTGATAAAAGGAGAAAAGATAGCTGCAAATCTGTACATGCTCACAAGAGAAACCCTGCAGGAAGCTGATTCATGTGTGGCATCAATCACCCGTGGAGAAGAACAAACAATGATGTGGCATCGCAAACTAGGCCACATATCAGAACGAGACTTGAATATTCTCTCCGATCAGAAGTTGCTTCCTGGACTTATTTCGGTAGCTCTTCCATTCTGTGAGCATTGTATTACAAATAAGCAGCATCAACTGAAGTTCAACACATCGAGTTCTAGAAGCAAGGCTATTTTGGAATTGGTTCATTCTGATGTATGGTAAGCACCGGTTACATCCTTGGGAGGAGCAAAGTACTTTGTGTCCTTTATTAATGATTACTCCAGGAGATGTTGGGTGTATTCTATCAAGAAGAAGGCGGATGTGTTCTCAGTCTTTAAAACCTACAAAGTGCGGAACGAGCTTAAATCTGAGAAGAAGATCAAGTGCTTGAGATCAGATAATGGAGGAGAATACATAGACGGTGAATTTCTAGCATTCTACAAGCAAGAAGGCATCAAAAGACAATTCAGTACTGCTTATACTCCTCAACAAAATAGAGTGGCGGAGCGGATGAACGGAACTCTGTTAGAAAGAACAAGAGCTATGTTGGCAACTGTAAATCTGGATAAAATCTTTTGGGCGGAAGCCGTAAAAACCGCTTGTTATGTGATAAATCAATCTCCATCAACTGCAATACAATTGAAGACGCCGATGGAGATGTAGACTGGCAAGTCAGCTGATGTTTGTGGGAAAATTTGCAAATAAGAAAATAAATGAAAGAACTGTATTTGATTTTTATTCTCTCTAACTGCTTAGAAAAAGAATGTTTACAACTCTCTCAACTCTCAATTACAATTGGATTTCTGATTTACAAAAGAGAAGAGAATGATCTGGATTCTCCCCTTTGTTTAATTTTGGGTTCTTCACGGTAGCGATGAGATGCCTCCCTCGAATGTTCACGTCGAGTTTGCTTCTCGTTGACGATCCGAATATCTATACTCACTGGAATAACTGTCTTGTCTGGTTGATAACTCTTGTCGAGTTTTTTTTTTTGATTCGGAACAAGTAACAAACTCTAATGATAGAGTTGTTCGAACCGAAAATAATTCGGTTGATAAGCCACATATCGATGGTTTAGAGATCCTCCGTTTGTTGATTTCCCAGACTGTGTAAGGAGTCAATCCTCCTTTTTCTGATTCTGGAAGATTTGATCGAAAGATCCCCCCCAAAATTCAACCTTGCTCGAAGGTTTTATCAGCCAACGTCCGATCCGATTAACCGAAAAATCCCTCTTGATCTGATTATCAAAAATCCGCCCCTTACTCTGTTGAGTTTGTTGATATTTATAGGGGGATTAGGGGTGTAACTGCCCCCATAATCCGCGCCTAAATGGGGGTTTAGTTACCCCATTAGTCGGGTGTAACAACCCACTAAAGTCACTCCTCAAATCGTGGGTGAAAAACAGCTTCGAAGTTGTTACGATCACGCTTGAATGAGTCAGAACCTTGACTTGCGTTCTGGCGGTGATTGAGTTGCGTTGGGCAACGATGGAGCTGCGTCTGGCAGCGGTTGATGAGCTGCGTTTGGCAGTGGTTGATGAGCTGCGCTGGGCAGTGATGGAATTGCGTCTGACAACGGTTGATAAGCTGCATTGGGCAGCGATGGAGTTGCGTCCATCGTCGATTGGAGCTGCGTTCGAGCTGTGCTTGGCAGCGATTGGAGCTGCGTTCGAGCTGTTGATTGTTGCAGTATTTAGATTTCTCTGTCTTTACATATGGATGACACCAATGATTAGTAAAGAAGATCTTATTCAGGCCATTTGTGGCAATTGAGGCATCCTAATAACGCTCTATCAACTGCAGATCACGATCTCCACTGAGTGTGTCGACTATCATTACACTGCTCATCAGCATCTCTAATGGTTACTAATATAATATTAGTCATGTTGTTGTCGCAGCCATCAAGATCAATCATCTCACATAAGAAGCTGCGTAAGTGATTGAATCGGTGTAGTGTCTTGACGGTGGTATGCGGGGAGGACTTTCATGTCTTGGTTTGAAGAGATCGTTGATTTGTAATCCCTTTTTGTCAGAGCTTTGCTTTGCTTTAACTCCTTGACATGTGAAAATCTTCGAATTGTAGCCTTCTGG